TTTCTTCTCTGAAACAAGCTGTAGGAGAGGCTTTCTCTTGGGAAGGCAGCAGCCATAGCAGCCCAGAGCCCTCCAGTCCGATCATCTGTGGGTGGGATCAGGGGCCTTCACTCCTGGTCTTCTGGCACCTTTCTCCTTGCATGACTGATGAGACTAATTCACTTTGCGGTCATTAAGATGGGGGCTGAGATGATGATCTGAGCAGCTCAGAGGGCTAAATTCTGATTCCCTGCTGCTCTCTAGGAGGATCAAGTGAGATTACAGTTCTCTTGACATTCTGGCATTGTTTTGCCCTTGTGCAAGAGTGTGCTTACAGTAATTGCTGAAAGCCGTATGTTGAATCCAGACGGGGAGTGGGAGTTGGCATTTGATATGCCAGAAAGAGAAGGATACCCTCACCAGGTGGCCCCACTTACAGTATGTGGCTTCGGTCCCCAGTAAACAGGAGTGGGACTAGCTGGCTAGCATTTGAGCCTGCAGTAGGAAGGCTCTGCTCCCAGCAGTCAAGTCTCAGCTTGTCCTCCTACTTCACCACATGGCCTTGAACAGCTTACTTGGCCTCTTCAGGACTTCAGTTCCCTCCTCTGTGAAATGGGATTGATCTCTAAGTTTCCTTCCTTTCTGCATTTTTCTTTCTCTATCTAAATCTGTTTTTGTAATCCTAATCTGGGTTAATCTGGAAAAAGTTTCCAGAAGCCCTGTGATGGCCAAAGGTAACTAATAAGGCGTACTATATAAAATTCCCTACTTTAAAATCAGAATAAGTTTTTAAATCTAATGCTGGTCTCCTTGGTGTATTGGGTTTTTTAATTTTTAAAAAAATTGTTTCTTGGGGTCCTCTCTGTTCTGTGGATTTTAAGACTTCTGGTTCTTAACAGTGTTAAATTTTACTCCTTCCTAAAGCCCCAGAGAGCATCGATTGCCACTCAGGTTAAGCGAGTGCCATATAGTGCCTCACAGTGTGAAGTAAGTTTTATTACAAGGGCATTTATTGGAAGCATCAAGGTATTTGGAAGATTATTTCTTCCTTCTTCCTCACAGGCCTCACTAAACATACAGTTCTCTGTGGTCATAAACTTTAGTAAAGTTCAAGTCCCAATGACAGTTTTTTAAAAAATCTATGTTTTGTTTAAACCTCACCAAGCTGGGACAAGAATTTTCAAAGGAAAAGGCAAACTCACTTCTGCTTCTGCTTTGGCTAATTCTGGGGCAGTGCACTCTCCCTGTTGGTCCCTGCCCTGGTCTAGTTCAAGGAACAAATTAGAGAATAAGAATTTTCAATCTTAGAGAACATTGCCTAACATAGAATAATTTTAGATATTAGAACTTTATCCTTGTAAAAGCAATTAATAATTTTGAGAATCCACCTTGTGCCAGATATTGTGCTAAGTGGTTTTCTATATATTATTTTATTATTCATTAGAAATAATGCTTCCAGGAAAAAGGGACTCTGTGAATTTAAGTAACTTGCCCATGTTCACACAGCTGGTCAGAGACAGAGCTGGAATTGAAATCCAAATTTTCTGCCAAGACCAGTGCTTTCCACAGGACTGAACCTTCCCATTCTTTAGGGCTGGCTGGTTTCTCTGATTATTTTCTTATGGAAGATACTTTAACTATATCAGAGTCTTGCTATGTTATTATTTAATTCTTTTAGTTTTATAATAGCTTTAATTTATTTTTAAATATTTTCTCCCAGTTGGTGGCTTGTCTCTTCATGATCTTAACTGTGTCTTTCAAAGAGAAGTTCTTAATTTTGATAAAGTCTAATTTAACTTTTTTTCTTTTATTTTTTTGGTGGATTGTGTTTTTGGTGTTGTATCTAAGAAATCGTTGTCTAACTCAAGTTTACACGGATTTTCTTCTAGAAATGTTATAATTTTAGGATTTATATCTAGGCGTATGATCCACTTTGAGTTGATTTCTGTATATCTTGTGAGATGTGAAATGCAGTTCTTTTTTTGCATGTGGATATCTAGTTGTTCCGACACCATTTGTTGAAGACTCTCCTACCTCCCCGGAATTGCCTTCGCACCAGATAGGTGTTGGTCTGTTGATGGGCACTCTATTCTCCTACGATGATCTCTTTACTATTTCTATGCTAATGTCACATTGTCATGTACTATAGCTTTATAATAAATCTTGAAGTCAGGGAGTATGAATCCTTCAACTTTGTTCTTCTTTTTCAAAGTTGTCCTTTATCATTTCTTTCATTTTGTTTAGTTAGGGATATATTTATAAAACAGAATCTAGAAATCTAAGATAATTTAAAATTCAAAGTTACTAAAGAGTAGTATAGAAACTTTGCATAATCTAGCTTCATCAGGAAATGTCACACTCTGAACATCAGAGTCCATTTGGTTAATCAAAAATTGTTCCATATACACATGGATTGCCAATTTTCAAAACACTGGAATGTGATAATTTATACCAGAATTGTATTGGATATGATTTCAATTTTCATTGATGTTTCAGAAAATACTTTGGGCCCTAGAGAATCTTGGTCATTGTGAGCGTTGGTTGTCATTGTCCTGGCAAAGTGGGAAGTTACTGATTAAAGGGAGTTTATTGAGTTATATTGCTGCCTACCATAGTATCTACCCTACTTTTGATTTGGGGGATACCTTTGTTCAAACATCTGAAGTGTTATAAATGACAGTGATATGCTTAGCATTCTGGTATCTGTCTCTTCCAATAAAGCATATCCCTGTTTACTTTAAACTTGCTATCTGCTGAGGACAGAGGAGTACTATTAATTAAGCCAGTTGATCCCTGGTAATTTTGGTCATCGTTGCCACTGTGTGACATTGAGCAAATTACTTGTCCTCTTTGGGGCTCAGTTTTTTCATTTGTAAAATGAAAAGTTTGGACTAGTTAACCTTGAGTGGCTCATCCAACTCTAAAATCCTTTGACTCTTTTGTAGTGTTTTCATTCCATTAAAAATGGCAACCTCTCTAGTAATAATGAAACAAAAACTCTTAATAGCAAAAAGCACTGTGGTAAGTCAAACTGAGAGCTTTTTGAGTCAGAAAGTAGCAATCTTTTGATGCATCACAGATTGCCTAAAACCACTACATGACTCTCCTTTTTTTTTAAGCAGGGGTTTTATTTGTTTGTTTCTTTGCTGAGAATGATTTGCCCTGAGCTAACATCTGTTGTCAATCTTCCTCTCTTCTTTTTTTTCCTCCCCAAAGCCTCAGTACATTGTTATATCTTCTAGTTGTATGTCCTTCTAGTTCTTCTTTGTGAGCCACTGCCACAGCCTGGCTACTGACAGACAAGTGGTGTAGTTCCACACCTAGGAACTAAACCTAGGCCGCCAAAGCAGAGTGTGCCTAACTTTAACCACTAGGCTATCAAGGGTGGCTCTACATGACTCTACTTTTCTATGGCCAACTCTGAGCAATTAAGATGGCATTTATGGCTCCTGGCACTGCAATGTTTTGTGGTCCATGAAACCGCTTTTGAGCTTCTCAGGTCAAGGGAAGAGGAAAGGAGAATGGCTCTAAGCTCAGGCACCATCAGGGTTTAGAGTAGTCCTGAGTTGGCAGGGTAGATTTTCAAATGTATCTTCAAAGACGTGTTGAAACCAAGAAGACTTTAAATATCTGCATCGTCTTTCCTGTGCCAAGAAGAGCAGAGCTCCCCTGGTCATAGTCTATCTGAGCATTGCTATACTGTTAGAATGAGAAGCCTGGAGAGTGTGAAGTTCAGTAGGGAATGTAGAATATAGACATGAATTAAAAATAATAAGAGGAACATTTATTGCGCCTATTTATTGAGCACTTACTATGTGCAGTGTGCTGTGTGAAGCATTTCTTGTGCATTGTATCATTTAATTCTCACAACAATCTTGAAAACTAGACATTATCATCTCCTTAAAAATGAGGAATGATGCACAGAGAGTTCATGCTACTTGCCTAAGGTCACACAGTAGTAAGTGGCAGAGCTGGTTGTCAGTCTGTATGTCTCAATCTAGAGCTTAAACTCTCTTGGTGGCTATGTCAGAGATTAGCTCTCATAACTTAGCCAGCTCATTTAGAGAGTAATTGAATTTGTGGTATGAGTTACAGTGATCTAAACAAAGAACACCAAGTGCTGGTGGGTCACTTTGGGCAGACATAATGGAAGAAGAAACTCATGAAAGGTTTCCTGAAGAAACTGCTTTGAATTACATTTTGACACTAAGGACATGAATTGGCCTAGAGAGAAAGGTGAATTTGTGCTGAGGGTACAGATTATATGAGGCCATGAAGATACAAATGAACAAATTTTGTGTTCAGGAAGCAACATACAGACTTACTCATTTCAAGGCAGTAGCCAGAAATAAAGCTGATGTCATAGAGGTGAAAATCTAAGAGATTTCACTTTGTTATGATAGGCACTAGAGACGTACTCTCAGTTCTTAAGCAAGGGAAGGAGCATAAATAAAATTGTATTTGATTTTACAATTTATCCTACAACTCATGTAAGATAAATATGAGCTTTTAATACATGAGGGAAGGTCAAGAGAAAATTTCTTAGCAAAACATATTTGATACCCAACAAATTATTTTCAGGCATATGATGTAGCTCACCTCACTAAGACCCTGTGACCTTAATAGTGCAATGGCAATGTATTTAGGCCCATAAATTAAGAGACCTGGAAGCAAATTTTACACAATTTCTAAAAATAAAGGTGACTAGTCCACTGCAGTTAAGCTAACAGCATATTTCCATCGTCACTGGTATTGTGCAGTGTACATAAGTGGAACACATACGGGTTACAGCTTAAAGTCAGGATTGGGCAAATAGAAAGCTCTCAACAATATGTATTAAACTGAGTTGAATTAAAGTCCACTTTCAGATAGCAGTTGCTGCTCCTGAGTGAGGGCTAATGTATTTGGTGAACTATAGTCGGCTCCCTTCCCTTTATAAATCCACTAATACTAATTTAATATCTCTTCACATTTTCTGAAGCATTTTCTTTTTCTCTTTTTCTCTCTTTCTCCCTCTCTAGTTCCAGAGACCTAATGACTTCTCACCTCCTTTCCGCTTTGGGACTGTGCCCAATGGGAGCACAGAGAGGAATATTCGCAATAACTATGCAGAAATGCATGCCTACATGGGAAAGTTCAACCAGAGGGGTGTAGATGATGCATTGCTCTCCCTGAAAACAGGGTAAGAACTGCTTCCAAGCTCAGAGTCTTTGATATGTTTCCCACATTTATTAAACATACATTGAGTCAGATGAACTATGCTTTGGTGCCATACAAAGTTAAAGCAAATAAGACTTCATTTACTCTTTACAGATTTCCAAGTTAAGTTTGACAGTATAATTCAGGCCAGTATGCAGAGATCCCTATGCTATTATTTACTTCTCTGTGGTGTTTTTTACAAATTATATTCTGCTTACATTAATGTTACCATGAAACAGGAATTAAGTAGAAGTCAAAGTAGAATGGAAGAGTCAATGATAAGGTTCATGCGTTATTCGTGAAAGAAAGACCTATTGACTCAGAAGTGAAAATGATCATTCTGGTGTGTTATGGACAAGAGAGAAGTAAAAGAAGAAAAGGGTCAAGGTTTTTAGACAACAAACATTAAGAATGTGTTGACTGATCTCCAGTTCCAGCTTTTGTTGGCCTTCTTTGATCCAGCTCTGTACTCTAGGAAGTATTTGCTCATTAGGAGGAGCTGGTGAACTGCAAATATGCTGGTTTGCATAATCTCAGCCACATTAGTCCTTTCATTTATTTGGCCTCCCGGAAGCCACAGCTGTGGAATAAGACAGACAGTTGAGCTTGAGAGATGTGGGATTTTTGGGTCAAGGGGTCTTATAATCTGATTTCCTGTGTTGTATGATAACTAGCAGCACTTGGACCTCCTGGTGGCTCCAGTTTTTGAAGAGCCACCCAGATGCATGGTTACTGAAATACTGTTATACTCTATCCTATCACCTTAAAGTCACAGCAGGCTTCAGGAGATGAGATTTGAGCTTGAAGTAGGACCACTTTGGGGACTGGCCCCTGGTACATCCACAGTTCTCAATCATGTCAAAGCTTGGGGGTTTTGGTGTGCCACCTTTCTATAGGGTACTCAGGGACCTTTTGAAAAATGTTCTGCATTTTATTTTTCCAGAAAGGGATTATTTATTCCTAAGGAGGGATAGAGCTAACTTAACTTGTAAAAGTGAAGGGAACAACGCATGCTTTTCTTTCTTGCAGATTTCTCTATTACCTGTGTGGCTATATCTGAATTTCTTCCTCCACCTTTGATGTATTTAAATGTTGATTTTAAATATTGATCCGTGCCTTCCTGCCCTTACCCTGTCTTAATCCCTTTCCTACATACTTTTTCCTTGCAAAGCACATTATAGAAAATGAGGTTCTTACACGTTTAGGAATTTGAGAGACCTGAGCTCTTCTGTATGTTGCATTCTCTTGTAGTTTCACACATTTGCTCTTAACACAAGCCTGTGCTGCCACCGCCCCAACCCCAACTACTCATTTCTCTCTTTGTGCTGCAAAACCGAATATTGAAACCTTTCTGACCACAAAAATAGCATTGCACATCTATTGAAACTCATGCACCTACACTTATCCCAACTCCGGACCATAATGAACTGAGAAATGAAAAATGTTATATAAATCTAACTCATGCTATTTGTTCTTATGACTGTGATGGTTACTTTTCATTATTTCTATTATTATTTTTATTGATTCCTTTTACTCCTCTTCTTTTCAGATAGAGCTTATGAGTTGGCTTTAGGCCCAACTTACATTCTCATCATTCCCAGTGGGAGGGAAAGAACTCCTCCTTTCAACCCAAAATCACATAAACAACAGCCTGGGATTTAGGCTTTAGATTCTGGCTGAGTTCCAACTTGAGCCTTGCTTTGAACTAATTCTTCCCATAATTTGCTGGAACCCTACTGCTTCATACTAATGGCCCCACAGGTAGTTTTGTACTAAAATTCCTCCGTTGGATTTTGTTTGTTTGCTTCTTTCTTGCACAGGAAACTGGATGCTTTCATCTATGATGCAGCAGTGCTGAACTACATGGCAGGCAGAGATGAAGGCTGCAAGCTGGTGACCATTGGCAGCGGGAAGGTCTTTGCTTCCACTGGTTATGGCATTGCCATCCAGAAAGATTCTGGATGGAAGCGCCAGGTGGACCTTGCTATCCTGCAGCTCTTCGGAGATGGTGAGTTAAAGAGAGAGAAAGTGCCTATTTGGCCTCTTCTGATGGCCAGTCCAAAACATCCACCCCTCTTCCTTCTCCATGCCTCTAACCCCTGCATTTCCAGAAAAGCATTTCACAGCATACTCTGAGATTTGGGGAGGATGTATTAGTTTGCAAGGGCTACCATAACAAAGAACCACAAACTGAGTGACTTACAAAATAGAAATTTGTCTCAAAGTTCTGGAGGCCAGAAGTCTCAGATTAAAGTGTTGGCATTGGTTCCTTCTGAGAGCCTCAAGGGAGAATCTGTTCCATGCCTTGCCCCTAGTTTTGGTGGTTTGCTGGCAGTCTTTGGCATTCCTTGGTTTGTAGACACATCACTCCGTCTCTGCCTTCGTGTGTTCACAAGGCGTTCTCCCTTGTGCGTTTTCCCTCAGTGCATGTCTGTGTCTGATTTCCTCGTTTTTTAAAGATACCAGTTATGTTGGATTAGGGGCTCACCCTACTCTAGGATGACCTCATCTTAACTAATTATATCTGCAATGACCCAATTTCCAAATAAAGTCACATTTCAAGGTCCTTGGGGTTAGGACTTCAACATAGGAATTTGGAGGGTGCACAGTTCAACCCATAACAGGGTGAAATTTAGGGGGAAGGATTGAAGTAGTTGGGTCAAGGAAGTATGTTTCAGGATTTCAGGCTATGATGAAACCTTCAGGGATAAAGTAAGAGAGGCTGGTATTAAATGTTGCAAACAGTCTTCTCATATGTGGCCAGAGCAGTGTATGGAACTTTGGAAAGGTCTCTGCTTTTTATGTGCCCAGAGAAAGGGCAGAGAAATATGCTTATGGCTATCGGCTCATTCTTCCCGCTCTCCCATCTTGCTCTTTCAGCTGGAGAAGGTAGGAAGCGGGACTGGGGTCCTCAGAAGCAGACACCCAGAAGATATTCCCCAGTGTCATTCTGGCTGCAGACTGAGCGGCCAACTTGCTTTGAGAAAATCTCATAGGAGATGCGATTTCATTATATACTCATGTCTTCTGCATAGCTCTTCACTTTATTGTCCAAAGTACCTACTTCTCCTGTTAGCTTCACAGAAGCTAATCCAGTTATGGATGAGCAGCCTGACTCTATTTGGCCCCTCAGGCCATCAGCCAAGCAGTTCTCTAAATTATGTCTGCAGAATCTTCGCTGTTAGGGATGAGATAAGAGGCAAAAGAGCATAGCTGGATTTTGAGACTCCAGGTGAAGTTAGTTATTTGACTAGGTAAGGAAATCATAGTTTGATCAAAGAAATGAGTAAAAATTGATGTGATTAACATTGGAAAGAGGAGGGGATTGTGGCTGGCGTGTTCACAAGCCACTTTGGTATGAGAGCTTCTGTGATTTTAATGTAGCTCACTTAAAGGCAATAACGAAGCCTCTGTGGTTGAGGAAGGGCAGCAGTAGAGACGATTCGTACAGGTTGCCAAGGCTCTAGTCAGATTATGCAAACAAAGTTCAAATTTTTAACTAAACTGGAACTATTGGAACAGGCAGTTTTCTTCATCAGATTTTCAGAATTTGTCTCGTCTAAAATTAGATGCCTTCTAGGCACATGGTTTCTTTCATTTTCCTTTTGTCTAGAATTTCTGCCTTTCTAATTGCTAGCATCCAGTGAAGTGGATAAAGATTATTAAAACCTGCCATGAATTGAATTAATCAAAGCTTCCTTCAGCAGAGTTAAAAGGAGGCAGGTCTGACTTTGGTGGTCTCATTTTATTCAAACTTACTCCCCTTTACTCTTAATATTTATATTTTCCTCTACAAGAAATCAGTAAGTCTGAGGGTCCCTAGGGAATCAATCATTCTCTTTGCTGATCTCTGTCTCTCCTCCCCTTGTCCAATCTGCTTCACATTTTTAAGATCAGTTTTTTGAACTGCTTGTTTGATTATGTTATTCCTCATTGTCTACAAAATAAAATGCAAAGTACTTAGTCTGATACTCAAGCCCTCAGCAAGCCTGCATCAACCTTTTCTGTTCGGCTTCCTTTGCCTACTATTATTCTGTTTAAACTGTTCTGCATGCCTTTCCCTAACCAAGCCTTGTCTTTTCCCACCTCCCTCCCATTGATCATGCTGTTTCTGTATCCTGCAGTGCCTTTTTGTGCAATACAAACTAAAATTCACCCATTCACCATCCCCACCTCCAAGTCCTACCTCCCGCATGATAACCCACTGGCCATCCCATCCACAAAATTACTCTCACCAATTTGAACTCTTGTTCCTTACATATAGCTTGTCATGTTGATTATTTATATACCAATTTACACTAGATAGGAAATAGAAAGCAGAGGTAATGTCTCATTTCTTTGTATCACCTGCACTACCACATTACATTTTCATTGAATACTTATTGAATATATTGGTAAATTAACATATAATGGTATTAATAAAATTACTGTTAACTTTATTAATTTTCTTTCTTTGTGTCTTCTTGTCTCTTTCTCTCTCCTGTTTTTCTCTCTCTTCCCCAACACCCTTCTACTTCTTTCCTCTCTTCTCTCTTTATTCTGTTTGCTTTTCTGCTCTGTCACCAGGGGAGATGGAGGAGCTGGAAGCTCTCTGGCTTACTGGCATCTGCCACAATGAGAAGAATGAGGTCATGAGCAGCCAGCTGGACATTGACAACATGGCAGGAGTCTTCTACATGTTGGGGGCGGCCATGGCTCTCAGCCTCATCACCTTCATCTGTGAACACCTTTTCTATTGGCAGTTCCGACATTGCTTTATGGGTGTCTGTTCTGGCAAGCCTGGCATGGTCTTCTCCATCAGCAGAGTAAGTGCTTTGATTTAGGTGCCAGGAGGTTGTGAAGGACAGCTTAGCCTAGCACTGTGCAAAGGAGAGAGACCCAGGAGGCCACTAACTCCCCTCTTATGCTGCTAAAGCAAGAAACCATGTCATGTATGTTTCCCCAGGGGGTTGGGTGATATAATTTCAAGTGGCCCCAAAAACAGGTGATGCTATTTTTCCTTCAAGAAGCAGCTTTCTGTGTGGGGTTTGAGCACTGGGTTCTCAAATAAGAACTGGTAGATCTATCAAAATGAAAAATGCCTTTTACCAAATGCCTTTCATTACCATTAATTAAATCTGTATAGGGTGGATTAATCATTTAATCCTTTTTAAAAAATCATATTTCTGTTTAAATAGTGAAATGTAATGTGTCTCTGTTATCCTGAGAAACAAAGGTCTATTATTATTAGTTTCACTGTTTCACTCTATGTTTTAATCATATGTGAATTATGGGGAGTTAAAATGCTTAATAGAACCTTCAGAAAGTCCTGACCCGTAAGGAATTTACATTCCAGAAACTTTTTTAATTGGAGAAAGAATGCAACTCTTCAGTCATTCTTTAGTTAGGTCTCTTCAGTGTTCTAGTCACAAAGTGAGGATTTGGAACACAGTTTTGAATATGAACAGAAGGTCACAGGGAAGAATAAAAAAAATGGGGGCTTCTTTTGATATTGTTAATGAAGTCATGGGATTCATTCATGAGAGGTGAACTCAAATGTCCTTTTAGAAGAAAGGTCTAGATTTCAGATAGAACCAACTTTGGCTTTAATGGACTTATGTAAGAAAAAGGGTTTCTCATTAAGTTGTTTCATCTTTTGATCATTTTCCTGTAGTATTTTAGTGATAGAGAACAGTTTTCTCTCTGGCTGTGAGTTGATTCAGACCATTCAGTAACCTGGGAGGAGGAGAGTGGAACTTGTGGTCCCTGAGCCACATTGTTCCACTGTGTGGCCCTTCCCAAGGTCTCAGATAGGGTGATGGCAGAAGCAGTGGAGATGGTGACCAGTAATAGAAATCCCATCATAGCCCTTCGACATAATCACTGCCCTTGTAGAGGAAAACTGCTTGGCATTTTCTCCTGGCTGTAAGCAAGGAGGACTGGAAAGAAAACCTGAAAAGAAGGCCTGAGAAAGGAATAAGTAACCTTACCTTGAAGGTCTTACATCTTGCTGCTGCCCTCTGCACAGGGAGGCTCATCTCATCTAAACCTTTCTTCTTTTCCATTTGCCATTCTCCTTTCCTGTCTTCTCTCTTCTGCTCCCCATGCATTGGGACAACTTCCCTTTCCAAGTTAATCCCCTTTGTTTTAAAGATACAATTCAAACAACCTCCTCTTCGAATACTTGCCTTACCAGAGAGAAAAGTTCCAAAGTTGTCCACCTTTCAAAGCAGGGAACAAGATATTAGCAGGTTAGCTTGACTTTAGACCTGGACCCAATTCATAAATTCTCCTGGCTGGTATTCTTCAAGGCCCTGTACAAAGATTTGTACACAGGGAGTTCTCAATCAATACTAATTTGTTAAGATATTAATTATGTATGATAAGACTAAGTGAATGAGAAAGTAGAAGAAGAAAACCAGATGCTAAAGAGAGAATAAATGAGAGGACTCAACAAGGGAATTATTTATTCCTATTTAGTCCTTGATAGCTATCCCAATTCTTCCCTCCCACAGTGTAGGGCACAGCAAGAGAAAAGTCCTTCTTTGACCCCAGGCCTTCCTAATTCTCTCTGTGAATTTGGTTCATGCTTGGCTTGAGAAGAGAACTGCTCAGCTGTTATCTGGTGACCAAAATTCTAAAAGCTGCTCAGAATTTGTCAAAACTCAAAAAGTGTGGCAATTGTGAGCTACTGAGCTCCCCTGTGCTTTACTGCAGCCAAGGTTGGCCAGCCAGGACAGAGCAGCCCCAACATCTGTAGAGCATTGCTATTGATTTCCAGGAGGCTGACAATGTTTTCTGCTATTGGTTGGTACCATTTTTAAGATGGCAAGATTTTTAAGGTCTCATTTTTAAGATTTGAGAACCTGGGCATAGAATGGAAAATCAGTGCAAGTCAATGGTGGAGTTGAGGCAAGGATGGCCCCTGAGATTCCAGTCTATTTGCTCAGGTCACTTGGTGGAGCCGTGTAGCTGTGCCCCCTCTCTGATAGCCAGGCCACTGACCTTAGCTCATCGTATAAGACTTGCTAAATGCAGGAGGACAAATCAGGCAAGCTTCTGGCCACATCTTTCTATGAGTATATAAGATTGTTTCATGTTTTCCCTGACTTTTCTTATCTGGTTAGGCAATTAGTGGTGGGAAGGGGTGTTCTTTTTGGTCACTTTTAGCCTCACTGGAGACCTAATCTGTCCCATTCTCTTCTTCAGGGTATCTACAGCTGCATCCATGGAGTGGCTATCGAGGAGCGCCAGTCCGTGATGAACTCCCCCACCGCGACCATGAACAACACACACTCCAACATCCTGCGCCTGCTCCGCACAGCCAAGAACATGGCTAACCTGTCTGGTGTGAATGGCTCCCCACAGAGCGCCCTGGACTTCATCCGACGCGAGTCATCTGTCTATGACATCTCTGAACACCGCCGCAGCTTCACGCATTCTGACTGCAAATCCTACAACAACCCTCCCTGTGAGGAGAACCTGTTCAGTGACTACATCAGTGAAGTGGAGAGAACTTTTGGTAACCTGCAGCTGAAGGACAGCAACGTGTACCAAGATCACTATCACCACCACCACCGGCCCCACAGCATCGGCAGTGCCAGCTCCATCGATGGGCTCTACGACTGTGACAACCCGCCCTTCACCACCCAGCCAAGGTCTATCAGCAAGAAGCCCCTGGACATTGGCCTGCCCTCCTCCAAACACAGCCAGCTAAGTGACCTGTATGGCAAGTTTTCCTTCAAGAGTGACCGCTATAGTGGCCATGATGACTTGATCCGCTCAGATGTGTCTGACATCTCCACCCACACTGTCACCTATGGAAATATTGAGGGCAATGCCGCCAAGAGGCGTAAGCAGCAATATAAAGACAGCCTGAAGAAGCGGCCAGCCTCGGCCAAGTCCCGACGGGAATTTGATGAAATTGAACTGGCCTACCGTCGCCGGCCGCCCCGCTCCCCTGACCACAAGCGCTACTTCAGGGACAAGGAAGGGCTGCGGGACTTCTACCTGGACCAGTTCCGCCCAAAGGAGAATTCACCCCACTGGGAGCACGTGGACCTGACTGATATCTACAAGGAGCGTAGTGATGACTTTAAGCGTGACTCAGTTAGTGGAGGAGGGCCCTGTACCAATAGGTCTCACCTCAAACATGGGACAGGTGACAAACATGTGGTCAGCGGGGTCCCAGCACCTTGGGAGAAGAACCTGACCAATGTGGATTGGGAGGAGCGCTCCGGGGGCAACTTCTGCCGCAGCTGCCCCTCAAAGCTGCACAACTACTCCACGACGGTGGCGGGGCAGAACTCGGGCAGGCAGGCGTGCATCCGGTGTGAGGCTTGCAAGAAAGCAGGTAACCTGTATGACATCAGTGAGGACAACTCCCTACAGGAGCTGGACCAGCCAGCTGCCCCTGTGGCGGTGACGTCAAATGCCTCCACTACTAAGTACCCCCAGAGCCCGACTAACTCCAAGGCTCAGAAGAAGAACCGGAACAAACTGCGCCGGCAGCACTCCTATGACACCTTCGTGGACCTGCAGAAGGAAGAAGCCGCCTTGGCCCCGCGCAGCGTGAGCCTGAAAGACAAGGGCCGTTTCCTGGATGGGAGTCCTTATGCCCACATGTTTGAGATGCCAGCTGGTGAGAGCACCTTTGCCAACAACAAGTCCTCAGTGCCCACTGCCGGACACCACCACCACAACAACCCCGGCAGCGGCTACATGCTCAGCAAGTCGCTCTACCCCGACCGGGTCACGCAAAACCCTTTCATCCCCACTTTTGGGGATGACCAGTGCTTGCTCCATGGCAGTAAATCCTACTTCTTCAGGCAGCCCACGGTGGCGGGGGCGCCGAAAGCCAGGCCGGACTTCCGCGCCCTTGTCACCAACAAGCCAGTGGTCTCGGCCCTTCATGGGGCTGTGCCAGGCCGTTTCCAGAAAGACATCTGTATAGGGAACCAGTCCAACCCCTGTGTGCCTAACAACAAAAACCCCAGGGCTTTCAATGGCTCCAGCAATGGGCATGTTTATGAGAAACTTTCTAGTATTGAGTCTGATGTCTGAGTGAGGAAAGAGACAGGTTAAGGTGGGTATGGGAGGGTAGGGCTGTGGGCGTGTGGTGTGCATGTCACAGAGGGTGACGGGGGTGAACTTGGTTCCCATTTGCTTCTTTCTTGTTATTTTAATTAATTTATGGGATCCTGGAGTTCTGATTCCTTATGAGGGCAACCCTGGTGACCAGCACCATCTCTCCTCCCTTTCTAGTTCGCTCCTCCTTCCCTCATCTGTCAGTCATTCCTGTTCCCATGAGAGAATGCAGGGGGCTCCTCCCTCAGTATGGGAGGGCAAAGTAGAGAAAGGAAGTGGCTGTATGTGAGCTTCCGCCTAACATAGAAGGACTCTTTGCCACTCACTTTGAGTGAAGCAAAGAGAAGCAAAAGGAGATCACGTGAGTACAGCATAGCTCCTCCCAAACTGATCTTTATGTTAGGTGAGGAAGAAAAAGCATCTAAATAAGACCATTGAGCATACTGCCTGTGAATGAATAGAGGCTTTTGCTAAATTCTTGTTGTTTAGATGGCATTTGTTTAGGGATAATGTGCCCAGCAGAGAGTGGGTGGCCATGTGTGTTTATATATAAGCCAAAAAAATGTTTGCTTCAATTCCATGAGACTCATTAGTGGTGAACTGGAATGACAGGTCATTGGTGGATGATGGAAAGTACACCACAGCAGTGTTCCATGGTGCATCGGAGGGAAGAGAGGATGGACTGTGTGTCCATATACACTTGCAGACATGTGTAGTCTATACACACATGTGGTCAGGGTCCTGTAAATGTAGAGAAGGCAACCTTGACTCATAATGTTGTTTCTTTCATTATCCCTCAGCAATGTACTTGTTTTGGCTTATATACAAACAGAGATGGTCATGTTACCTGAATTCTGGCTGTTTCTCCCCTTCACCCTTCCTGAATGAGGAGAATGGAAGTTCTTGACAGAGAAGATTCTGTGGTCTAAACAAAAAGGTGATGAACAGTCCTCCAAGAGCAAGGTACAAAAGTAATTCCTTTGTGGTTGCCACTACTTTCAACCAGTCTTGGCCAAGAACTTTCCAGGAAGGCTAAAGGGAAATAGAAGCAGCCATGATTCTTTTGCCCACACTTGAGAGCAAAAGATTCTCTAAAGCTCTTTTGAGCTTTTTAGACCCTCAGCTGGCCAAGGTTTGGGGAGGAGCTAAGTAAGGCTTTGAAGAATAGGGGAGTCATTTATGGTGTGATAAGTAAGAGAGGGGGATGTTTTCAACACTTTGATCCCTTCTTACTTAACCCGGAGCTAGGAGAGCAGGCTTGTTCCCCCAGAGTTGATCACAACTGATATGGAACAGACAGTTAAGAGGAATGAGCTTGCTCCATGAGTACAGCTCAGGAAGGAAGCGTGGAGGGAAGAAGGGAAGAGATTTGGGAGTCTGGAGGGTAGCGGGAGGGGACTCCCTCGCTACCCTGTGGAGTCTGGCTCCCTGAGAATGCGACAGTGAGCCCAATGTGAACACTCTCAGTAGAAGCCCTTCCACCTTCCCGCAATGCCTGCTTTCCCTCCCAGACTGCACCATTGAAGAATTATATATATATAAAGAATTATATATATATATATATATATATATATATATAAACTCCAGGGATGAGGGTCTGGCAGATGAGATGCCCCCTTCACTAAAAGTTGGAAACTTGAGAAGGGAAATGAGTATTTGTCACTGCCAGTCCTGAAACTTGGGGTGGGGTGTTCTATGGGTGAGTTCCATTGTCCTGCCATCCTCTCCTTTACACAGGGTGGCAGCCTGAGAGCCCCGGGTCTGTTTGGAAGCTTGACTGCAGGATCTCCATGTTGCACACAGGACATATAAACCAGAAAGGTGCTCATCCTCCTCTGGAAGGAAGCTGCCATGTCTCTTCAAGTCACACCCTCCAGGGCTGCTCTCTGCCTTCCTGTCTGCCCTGACTCACTACCCTTCCTCATTCCCTGCCCTCGACTGCTGTCCCCTGCCCTCCTCCTTGATTTTTACCTCAGTATCTTTTATTTTAAAGCCAACTGAAAGCCTTGTAAAGCTTTGTTTTCTTTCTAAAACGAACCTGGGGGCAAGGGGCTGAACCTCTCACAGATATGGAGAGAGGAGCACCGAGTGCTTTACCTTAGATTCAAGGAAAGACTTTGAGAGAGAGGACAGAGGGCATGAGGCGTCTCCAGGAGGAAGAAGGAGAAGGGCCATATAAACACTGCTTCACCCCGCCTCTGTCCGAGGTCAGGGGCTCCTCCCCTCACTCTTCCTCTTACCTCACCCCTTTCAAATAAAAAACCAAACCAACCAACCTAGCGAACAGCAATCTAGAACAAAGGGGGCTCTGTCAGTCTCCACTGGTGACAGAAATCAAGATGGTGTTTATTTCATATGTAAATATTTTGTTTTCTAATTAATTTTGTATAGATAAAGTGTTCTCTTGTGAGTATTCAGGGTGTTGGGCTGGAGGGAGTAGGGTGGGGATGGGAATGAAGGGGGAAAATGTGTTTTGTTATGGATTTTCGTTTTCCCTTGGGGGAATTGTTTTGTGTGGCTTTTACTTCAGGGTGTCTGGAAAAAAGTGAATGCGGATGGAGGCCGCTGTGGTGAAAAAGCCAGGGAAAAGTAATTTGTGTCCATGCTTCCCCACCTCACCAATTTTCTTAATGATCTGTGAAAAGTGTTCATGCCTGTCGGCCTGGGCTTGTACAGGGTCCAGTTTGGCTCTAAGCAAACCCCAGGTCCAGCTCCTATCTTCTAGGTAGACCACAGATTCCCAACATTCCATGCAAAGTCAAGCTGGTGGCACCGTATTTTTCCTGTCAGCACCTAGGGTAGGAAAGATTCCCAGAAGAGCTTAAACCAGAATTGAGGTCAAATTAGCCTCTCATTCTTGATGTGGCTGAGAGGTTACAGGAAGCCCAGTCCTGAGAAATCTCCCAGCAGCCCCCTCTGATGTTTAACAACCATCTCAGTCACTCTGACTCTTTTTTTCCTAGTGCCTGGGCACTGGACCTCTCCCTACTCCCTCTCTCACTCCTTAGAAATCAGCACTGCAGGCGCACCCAGAAAATTCCACTATGTCTACTTTTTGAGCATGTGATATCTGGTTACAGGGTGGCAGCACCTTACAAATTCACATGCTTTTCTAGAAGAGGTTACCAGACCTACTCAAAATTCAGTGGCCAGATGATTCTCTTAGAAAGGTTGCAGAAGTTGGTTTCAGAGGTAGAAAGGTGGATATGAGACGGACGGTGCCAATAGTGACTGTATATTTGCCTTGTCCTCATTTCTGCCATCAGGAAGGTGCTATTTGCCTCTAGCCAGGTATTCATAACCTGACCTTGGGTTAACTAGACAAATAGAATCTCTTTTACTGGACTGTTGGCTTTGTGAAGGGTGGCAGCCTCTCTCTCTTTACCACAGGATGGAATTTCCAAATCCATTTACCCGAGATACCACAGTACATTTTTTCCTATCGTCTCATCATCAGAAGTTGTCAGCTGGATAATTTCATTTTTCTAAACCCTTTCTTAGGCCCCAGTTTGTCACTTCTCTTGAACTGGATGTTTGAATTGGGACCAAGTAAGATATTCATGGCCTGCTCAAGAAAGCTTAAAGAAAGGAAGGCTGAGCATTGTCAAGTTCTAAATGTTATGTCATTCCAAATTACAACCCAGTAAAATGCATGAGGATGAATTCTGCAGTAAGCCTCATCTATTTCACAGGTGGTTCTGGTCACAGATCCAATCTATCCAAAACTGTGAGATTCCACAGACACCCTCAGGAGCATCAATTGTTCCAATTTTCTTCAGAATCCATGCTTTCTATCTTTTGTGTCCTCTTTCATTCCCTTCCACCATGGAAGTGGGTTGGTGGGTGTGGTCCTGTATCACTCCTTTCAGTGGCAATGCTTAAATCTCAACATTTCCACTGAACTCAGTTAATCTGACCCTTGAATTTGCCTGCGTCAAGAATGTGCACACCCTTCAGAGTGATGCATGTACAGTGGATCTTATCATTTCAAAGTATGTCATTGTGTATTCTCAGCCAGAACATGGGAAACATCCTTGATGTGGATTCCCCTATACTGGCCACAGCCATGTTGTAATTAGGTGAAAAAAAATCCCAAATGATTCCATTAAATGTTGGTGGTTTAGTAGTGCCAAAACGCATGTGCAATGTGATAAAATATGAGTCGTCTATATGATTAAGTGAATATCACCTACCCAGTCTTCCATGGTCATCAGGATTTGCCTAAGGGGTAATTCTCTGCATGGGAGGTGAAGAAACCATGTTACCAAAACTGCAGTGTGCTGGTCACCTGCACATCTCATTTAAAAACTAGGGTTTCTCTTTTTGCTTTTTGTTTGTTTTTTAGTTAGTTCAGGATTCAGGGAAAGAAGAACAGATTGGGCAATAGCCTCTGGAAAATGCTACTCCAGGAATCACTTTATTCTTTTAATCCCCTTCCCTCTAAAAAAGCCCTGTTGTTCCTTAGCACCCTGTATGGTCTGTTTGGTGTGTTAGGAATGATTCAGATGTGTGCATAAATAATGCAACTGCAGGACTATTGATGAATACACTAGGCATTTCCAGGTTTTGTGGCCATAACTTACATGCTCTCTGAGCCCAAAGCCATATAACAAATGTTTGCTCAGTAGACTGCCAAATACTTTGGGAGAGCATTTGCTTTCTTCACTTGAATGTCATAGACTCTTCTTCCTGTCTGAGGAACTCTTTATAGATGAGAATCAGCTTAAGATGGGCAGTTATACTGGAATGGGTCTGGCCTTACAAACGGTATATGGTCCATGGTGTGATTTCAGAGGTCCCAAGAAAACCTTCCCTTTACTCTCCACTCCACTCCAACTACTGGCTTCCCACACAGATATATTCCTTTAGCACTGAGCTGCTCATCTGTAATTTAAATGAAAATAATCCCAGGAAGGGTAACATGTTAAGCCATATTAGAGATTTATACATTTAAGCACATAGTTTACATTAGGATTCTGATTCTTTTTCCTGGGAATAAAGTAATGATGCAAGAGAAGAGGGAGAGAACAAAGAACACTAAGAGTAACAGAGAAGGGAGTGAAGGTACAAGTTCTAAAGTATAAAGACATTTAAACCATATCTCATCTTCTACCTGCTTTTATTTAAGGCTCATGTGACACAGGAATAGGACTCTGAGCTAGGAATTCTTCTCAATAAGCAGTCACATGAGTATCTAGTTTATGAATTTCTAAATTCAATGCCTTGTAGGGCAGGCTTAAGGACTGTGACTCTTTCTATAGAAAATGGAAGATTGATGCTTCTCCTCCATTACAGGTTACTGCGTAAGCAACTAAAAAGATCAAATTGAATTAATGTTATGATAATAAAAGTTTACTATAATTATCTGTTCTCTGTCCCCATTCAATCTTCCAGTTCAGCTGAGTTGTTCTATATTCTGTACTTCCCCACCTCCATGCGGGGTGCCCAATGATCCCAGCACATGCTAACTGTTAAGGAGATATTGGACTGCCATGTGCAACTTAACCAGTGGGCAATTCCTTTTTAGTCCTACCAGATATTTGGGACATCACTAAATTATAGATTTGTCAGTCTGAGAACTTCTAATACCCAATCTAGATCTAGGATTCCATTCTAGTTTGGGGGTTCCAGTATTATATAAAATCACTGGATATCTGAATATATCCCACCTCCATCTCATTCCAACCATGTTGACTCAACCACACAGATGCCCTGTGGGTTCTGTGACTTAAAGTAGATAAACCTATTTATTCTCATGACAAAGAACCCCTCAAAAAACCTTATATGAAAGTCAGGGCTATTTCCATGCCTTGGATAGATTAGTGAAGTTTGGGGTCTCAGATTTATAATATTGAAGCAAAGAAAAACAGTTTTGCCCCAAGAGTGATGAGTTAGGATAGCAGTACTGGGAATAAGTGGGTAAAGTTAGAAATCATCCACATTTCTCTGCCAGTGTGTCCATTTGCATCCATCTGAGAGCTCATCACAGTGAGTTTCTGGTGCTGTTCCATGCTTTAAAACATAATTGCTGGTGTGATTATGAGGGTGAGAACTCCTGATGAGAACTGAAGGTGGAAGGCAGAGTGGATGAGTAGAATTTCTCATAGCCTTGGGTCTCTGGTGTGTAGAATCTGTGCTTTGGCAAAAAAGAAACGGATGTCAGTGCAAGGATTAGGGTACAACTAAAAAGCACAATACTAGGTCCATTATAAAGCTGTTATTTAAAAACTTTGGTTTCCACACTTTAAACCTGAACTGTCTTTATTTGTAATTATTTTAGCATTGTGATTTAGGAGGTGGAGTAGGTTCCAGTACTATGCAGGAGAGAAAAAGAAAAGCTCTAGTTAAATATGTTAGTTCAATTAAACCAATGTCTGTTGAGCACATACTATGCCTCTGGGCTGGTGCTGTGAAGAATATAAAAGATTTTAAAATGGAGTATATTGTATTCACATATAATATATGAATGCAAAAGTATAAAATATTTAAATATATGTATTACATATGTATAAATTAGTATATTTATACATGCCACTTTAATTTTTTCTGGTTTCAGGGTATGAGTGAAAGATATTATAGTATTTAAAAAACACTGCAGAGATTCAGCTGTCCCCATCATGGCCAGGCCTGAGCCTCTTCTTTTGGAATTATTTTACCTCCCAGAGCTAAAACTCTGAAATTCCCTCCCTGACTGCAACCTTGCATTTTCTGTGTCTTATCTCCTTCCTTCAAGCTCCCTCTGTCATTCTGGTCCATAGACCCCTCTGATTTCATTTACTCCCCTTTTTGGTCTAACCCTGTGTTCACCCACAACAGTGCTCTCACCAGCAATCTCTTCTTCCTCTTGCCTTCCACCTCCAAGAACAGGTCTTAAGCCTATGGTAAAGAACACAAATTCAAGCCACTTAATCTCACCTGAACCCTACCCAGCTTGGACATCTTTCTTATTTCTCCAGTGTTGACTCCACGTCACATTCTCCAAGGATTTGTTAAATGTATTTTTCATTTTCCTTTCATTTTCATCTCTTCTCTTTCATTAGGCAATCTTTCTTACCATATTACTAAGAACAGGTATCTGACTTTTTAATTCTCACATGACCTCTCTTCCTTTAAATTTCTCCTGTCCTTCGTTCATCTTTTTCATCCTCCCTCCCAACTCAGTGCTCCTGCTCCTCGTGCTCTGATAGCCACCCTCTGACCTCTTCTAAGGTCCACTCCAGCTAATAGTACTTCTCTCTGTTGCGTCTTTAACCTCTTTCACACATCTGCCTACAACAATCTCTAAAAACAAACCTTCTCTCGAATTCCTAGCCTATCTTTGTTTGTCTTTTCACTTCCAAACTTGTCTTTCTTTACTTCCTCACATAATGCTCATGGCTTAACCTTTAAAACTGGGCTGTACCTTGACACGACTGAAACTGCTCTATAGCAACATTCCAGTGAACTTCTTGTTACAAAATCCAATACCTTTTTTTTTTTTCTTGCTGTTTGGCCTCTTGAATATTAACCCAAATTTACCATTGGGAAGCAGCATGTACTGCTTTTAATCCTAGCCTCTGGTCCTCTGTATGTCTTCCTTCACTGATTCCTGTTTCTCTTGTCCCCCGGCATGGACTTTCCATGCTTTTCTGAGCTAGACCCTCTTCTCCTCCTTATCTGCATGCTTCTGTAGCAATATTTCTGTCTTCCACAAGTTCAACAACTCTGAATGAGGATGAATTCCAAGTCTTCACTCTTAGACCCTACTTTTCACTTCAGCTTAATGCACGTATTTCCAGTCACCTCCTCAATAAGTAACTTCATATTGAGTCAGATATCCAAGACCATCCCTGTAAACCACCATAATCACCAGGTTCCCCCTTTTGATTAATGGTACCACCATTCCTTATATCACCAAACTAAAGCTTTTTGGCCTCTTTTGCCTCCTCCATTTACCTCATCCTGCACATCTAATCACTTGCAAAGCCTGTTAATTCTTGCCCCTAAAGTTTCCCAGTCTTCTCTTTTCATTCAGGCCCTTTGTTCTTGTCTGGATTATTTCAGTGTCTTTTAGCATTGTTCCAAGATTTTATAGTTGAATATACTCTTATCAGTACTCACTTCCTAAATACAAATTAAATCTTGCCACTCTCCAACTCAAAAAAAACAAAAAAACCTTCAATGGGTTACACTTGCTGTAGTCTACCAGCAAGAATAACTTCTTGTTATTTGCCTGTGTGTGCCCATGGCCCAGACAAGCTGAATTACACATTTATCTCTTACCTTTCCTACACTGACTTTTTTCCCCACTTGTTTCTTCCATAAATTGCTCCCTATGCCCCAAATTCTTTCCTTCCTATCTCCCAACTCACTCCCTTTTTGGATAATATCCATCTCCCTCTATACAAATCTTCAAAGACTGGAACAAATGGGCCACCATGTCCACCTTCCTTCATCTCCTATCCAAAAAAAAGGAAAGTATGTATATATATCCTATCCAAAAAATAAATAAATAAATAAATAAATATATATATATATATATATATATATATATATATATTTAGGCCTTTTGTGAATGCTCATAACACTTTAATTATATCTCTCTAGTGGCAGCTATTACAAACCATCTTATTTTATGGTTATTTGATTATACATCTCATCTCCCCTGCTAGATTATAAACTCCTTGTGCTTACGGGCCATGCCTTTATTCATCTTTTTATCTCCTGTAGCACCTACCAGTGCATCTTATATATAGAAGGCATGGGTAAATATTTGTTATTATTATAAATTATAATTGAAAAGGAATCATTTTATGTTGCCCACAAGATACTTGAATATTCAGTAAAACCTAAGGCTGTCTCCCTCCACATTTATCTCCGTATTTCTGCACCTACCCACAATCACAGCAATACACTACATGTATGCATTTCCATGTTAATTATTATTTCAAATGGAAATTTGGATTTTTCTAAGTTTTGCCTTGTACTTGGAAGTTATTCTGTGACTGCCTTACAGTTAGTAGAGTGTACTTGGAATACTACGTGTACACAAAGTAAGTGACAGAAGGAGAGGCCATCAAGAATATTGACCAAATGTTAGGTATCAGGAGCTTTTCAGGTGCTTTGATGGAGCTTCTCTCCAGACACTTCACCATCCGGACTGAGTCTCTAACAACCTGACCTGTGCTGACATTGATCTGGCTTTGATGCAATCTGTAGCCTTTTTTTTTTTTCAACACTTGCACTACCAGAAGGACCTTGTCACAATTCAGGCTTGCTAATGACACAGTCTTATGGATCCTGAATGGTGGTCCAGTAGGACAATGCATTATGCCATGTGCTTGTACTTTCCGCATCTGTACTATCTTAGGCCAGACTTGGGGGAACTGTTTGTGCTGTTCACAACCTTGTCTTGATAGTTCTTTCCTGGGCTCTCTGGATTCTCACCCTTTCCAAGCCTTGGTCTACAGGGTGAGTTGTCCTAAGGGGAAGATGAGAGTTGAAGTAATCGAGCACTTATTTCTGATCTGTATATTGCAATTGAAAGTAGGTTAGGATTTAAATGAGGTGGCTCAGAGAGAAGTCTAGTCTCTAAACTACTCCTTCTTCTCTAAATGTGAAGGGACTCATTACATTGAAGGAAACAATATCGCCTCTGACCTTACGGCCCTCCTGCCCCTTTATTCTCTGAGCCCTATTCACCCTTCCCCCTTGCCTTCTTGGTATTCTACTAAGCAATCTGTCCTATTCCTTCTAGTCAGTGCAAATTGCTGTTTGTCATCCTGAAGAAACTCTTGGGGCTGGTACTGTCCTTTCACTTAAGCTGCTCCAGTAAATAATATTCCCTTCTCCTGGCCAGCCTCCTCTATAAATCTTATTATGTCATTGATCATGAATTGTTCTCCTTTAGGAGACATCTTGTGCCATGTGTGCTAATTTAAAGCATACTATAGAGAACTGAACTCAAAGAAGTTACAGGCAGTGACAAGGCTCTTCTTTAAAAAAGCAAACAAAGTCCATTCTTCACTGAGACAGAAGGGAGGGTAGAGGAATTATTATTGGCAGAAAGGGGCAAAATGTGACAACTTGGGTGACACTCTAATGAAAATTAAGATGTAAATCTAGAGGGAGAATTTTTCTTCTCAAAAGTCCTAGTTGGTCAAGATAGTCCTGCTCCTGGGAATAGGCATAGTTAACATTTTGGAGCAAAATCTAGCTCATTATGTTATGAGACGTACTTTTTTTTTTAGCCAATGAAATAAGTAATCTGATAATAGCTGGGGGAAGGTTGGGAAGGCACATCTTCATGAAGAAGGACCTTCATGAATCTCTGTTGGACTGATGGAATGAAGAAAATTCCAGCAAATTTAAAATACATCCAGAAGGCAGTTTTACCCATGAGGCGTTCATGTCAATTTCTTGCCTGTAAATATTTATAAAAGTTGACAGGATAGGAGGAAGGAAAAGGACAGGAAGTCTACAATGGAGCTTCACATCACAAAGCCAGGAGCCTGCACTCCAGTCTCTTGGATCCCCCTTGGTTTACTGGTTTTGATGATAGCTTCAGAGAAGAACAAGACCCAAAGCTGATGACCTTCCAGATGTCTGTTCCTTTAGTCACTCCCAGGGAGTGAAAGCTCACTCAAATTTGGAGCTTGTTTCCTGGGCATAATTGGACTGAAGATAGAATTACACTTATTCTCCAATTTCACTTGTAACCTGAGATGTAGCAGGAGGGGAAATAAGAAATTTTTTAAAAATTAAAAAGTACTTTCTGAGTGACACCTTCATGCCCATGTGTGGACTGGAGGTTGTTTGATCCAATGCCAAAAATACCAGGAAAGGTAACAGCTGTCCAAGGCAGTGCCAGGAAAGCAAGAACCCCATCACAGCTGCCTTCAGCTGTCACTGTGCCCACCCCAGGATGAGTGAGGAACCTGGATCCTACCACATCTGTAAGGTCCTGAATGTCCACAGGGATTCAGGCCACATGTCAGCCCTAAGCTAGTGCTCAGGCTGTACCCTTCGGACTACAGCACCCAGAGAGCCCCTGATCATTAACTGGGCAGAGAAAGAGTGACTCATCACACCACCCCTACCCACAGAATCTAAGCCACCAGGCCGTGACTCTGTGTGTCTCATTGCATTAAGAAACTCACAGCCTCTGAGATCTTACAGGAGTGCAGCTTCAGGGGGATGTGGCCATGGGAATGGGAATGTGCTGAGCTGCCTGGCTCTCATAGTTAAGGACATTACCTGTTTCCAGAGGGGACGTTTTTTAAAAAGCCAAAACATGCCTATCTGAAACCTCAGTCATATTTAGAACAGTCCATGTAGTTAACTCCCAATGTCATTGTCACCTTTTAATTGTAATTGATAATTTTCTTTTGAAATCAAGGGCTATTTTAATGTTGCCTTGCTGTGATATAAGAACCATCTGCAAACCAGAGACTAGGCCTTGACGCTGCCTCTGCCTGAGCTGTGCTCTCAGTCACTTACACATCACTTCCACCTAGTCACCTGGACAGCACAGCTGCACCGAATTTGGTCTCTTTACCATGAGCTCCCTTATGCTTGTGCACCTTCCCAACACCCACACATGCCACACACACACATGCACACTTCTTACAAATAGATCCCAACTTGCCAATTTCAATCACTTTAGTGGAGGAATAGGGATACATTCTTGGTAGATGAAAGTGTTCACTTAGAACTGGAGGGACATACTATAGTTTATCCAGCTAGCGTTTTCTCTTTTGCTTTATGTAGCTTGTGGATCGCTGACACCTCAAGGTTTGACTGAATATCTAGGCTTTATGTGAAGGGAGCATTTTCTCTATGAGAGAATAACCTCGTTGTCCTGCTGCCTGTCCCTTTTTTACCCTGTGGAATCCGTGTGGTCCTCTGATGTCCTGCTAATGGATCATTGCTAAGAGGATAGTGCAGCAGAAGCCAGTCTCTCCAAGGACAGGCAGTCCTGTTGCCTAGATACATACATATCTGTGTGCCCACATCTCTTCTCGACAACACCATGAGCAGGGGTGCAGAGGTCTATCGTCAGTGGGGACAGGAATGGCAGTACATGCCTTGGCAGATTCAATAATTTTTTTCTCTCCCAGAGTCAGGAGCAGGGAAAATATGAAGCCTTCATGTCAGTAGGAAGCAGGGAGGCTAGAGAAGCATCTGAGTAGACTTTTTTTGAGAAAAACATAAAATAGTAAAAATACCCTTTCTTTGATACAAATGCACTTGAAAGACAACCAGGGCGCTTACAGCTGTGTTCTCCCTCATTGACTTACTGATCTGTCTCAGTTTAGGGATCTTGAGGTATTCTGTGTCCTGAGTCAGCTCCAAGCAGCTCACCCTCAAAACACACACACACACACTGTTAGGGTGAGAATGTGAGAGCACAGAGCTTGAACATGTGTGTGGTATTTAATGTTTCCAAACCAGAGCCCAATAAGTCTGGTACAATCAGCCCCCCTCTATATTAATGACTGAGGAAGAAGCCTGCTGTGCATAACTGGGTACTCTGGATCCAAGAAAAGAGAATAACTTTCTTACTAGATTGTTCCTAAGACTCCTGGGAACTTTCAATGATCAGGACGATTACCCTGGTTATTTCTTGGTAACAGGCACAAGAAATGGAGCACATAGAACTTTGAGGAGTCATTCTTTGAGCAATCTTAGCTTAATTCCCATGTAAAAAAGGCCATGAGCTGTGGCAGTTTCTAGACTGACTCTGCTCCTCCTCCTTGGAGGATAGAGTTTCTGGGGTCACCAACAGCCAACTTAGGCCTCCACCACGTTTAGCCTGTGATACATTCTGAGTAAATCAAAGTCATTTGTATGTGGATATGGGATAATTTACCATAACCATTTCTCCAAATGGCCTCCTTTGGCATGGAAATACGATCATCTTTTAATTTTACAGATGAAAAACTTGAAGCACAACAAAACTTGATGACTAGCCAAAACTAAGGTTATACTGGATACTCTTGGCAGAACCAAAACTTGTCTGAATTTCCAGCCCTCAGCCTAGCTCATTGGGTAATGCTGCCTGAATTGTCCTTCCCACCGTGTGTTCAGCACCTGATGGTAAAGAGAACTCATGAAAGCTAGGGAGCTGATTTCTCTAAATCTTTTCCATGGAAATTTGTCTTCGTCACAGACCCATCTATACAAACACACTCTCCTCATGAGTCTACAGAGACAAGTCAAAAGAGATAGGAACAAAGCAAGAACTTTGAAAATGAGAAAGGGGTAGAAAAGTTTCTGTAATGAAGAGTTGAAGGCCAAATAACAAAAATGTTTTTGAATTTTGTGGGATAAGACATTGTGAATAATTTTTTATTATTAAAAAATTTTTATGTAGCATGTAACCCACAGAAATAAAAAGCTCAAGAAAAACTGAGACAGAGGATTTCTTCCAGAGTGTTACATGGGGAAGGGAGCCTCCAGGAATGTGTAGGAGGAAGTCATG